GTTTTTTTATTATTATTAATCTAATGAAAGTCAAAGTTGTACTCAAGTTCCCAACAGATGGTTACTTCAACATGGTACCATCAGCAGCGTTTTATATTCTTTACAAACTTCAAGTATTTTGTTTATAAAATTTCTTTTTCTTTTATAATAATTGAAAAAATAAAACTATAAAGTTACAACAGGGCCAATATTTTCTGGTACTGTGAAAATATTTTTAAACTTCTACAATCCTATATTGTGTTAGCATTATAATTAATTTCTTTAAAATTAGCATTATAATTAATTCCTTTGAAAAGTAAAGTTAAGAAATGCAGAATAAAAAATAAACTAGTTCCTAATCAATAATAACCAATTATATTAGTAGTAAACCACTAGATCGAAATTGTTCTTACTTTTAAATTATCAGGTAAATCTGATCTCCCAGCATAACCAGGATTCATTGTAATAAAAATAGCACATGTTGAATCCAAATGAATGTCAGTGCCTTCAAATAGCAACCTGTCATTACCAGAACTGATTCCTAAAATTTAAAGTTCTAAAAAGTTCATTTTACAACATTTTACCATCCATGAGTGAAAATACTTTTTAAAAAAATCACTATCTTATATCACAAGTTAAAATGTTTGCATTTGTTTTAGCACAATCAAGTAAAAATATGTTTGAAATTATATTTGTTTAATGCACTCAATTTAAAATATATATATATATATATATATATATATATATATATATATATATATATATATATATATATATCTATATATATATATATATATAATATATACATATACATATATACATATATACATATATATATATATATATATAATATATATATATATATATATATCATATATATATAACATATATAATATATACATATATATATATATATGTATTTATATATATATATATTTATATATATATATATATATATTATATATATATATATATATATATATATATATATATATATATATATATATATACATATATGTATATATAAAATGTTTCTTAAGACAACAAATATTTTATTAAATATTGTTAAAAAATGTTCAATGTCCAGTAGTCACTGAAATAATGTTAAATACCAAGTTTCCACAGTGAATCATGGTGGCAGCTCAGTAATGGTTTGGTCATGTTTCAGCTGTCCATGAACTAGGTTAAATCTATCAAGTTCAAGGTACTATGACAAAAAAATGTATAAAGAAATAACCAAGGATATAATGCTGCCACATACAAAGAACAAAATGTCGCATGGTTAATCTTTCCAACATAACAACAATCCAAAGCACACATTCAAGCTTGTCACAGAATTTTTTACCTAAAAGAAAGTTTGGGCCTTGGAATGACCAGCACAATACCCATACCTTAATCCAATAGAACATCTTTAGGATCATATTGAGAGAATAATTAGCAGTCACAAGTTAACTAACCAACATAATTTATTTGAGTTGATTAAATGCAACTGTAAGAAAATAACATTTAATGTTTTAATTAATTTGGATGATTCAATGCCATGTAGATATAATGCTGTCATTGTGGCTAAAACTTTTCCAACCAAGTACTAACATTAAGTAGAGATTATAAAATATATGTAACAGAATGTAGCAGTAACATATTATATAACAAAAATAATCATAAAAAAATGCTATAAATTTATTATTTGTTGTATTTTAAACTCTTTTTAAAGGACACATTGAATTAGTACAACTACTTTTGAGCAAATCATTTGCATTCTTTTAGTAAAATTTAAATTTTTGTTTTGTATTACATAATTGTAGTATAATTTGACATTTGACACAAGAAATTTCATTTTAAAAAGTTAACTCAATGGAAAATATAAAAAAAAGCTGATTGCCCTATTACTTTTAAACCCAACTGTTTATAATAAGAATGTTTTTGTTTTTTTTCATTTGTAACTTTGTTTACATATTTAGTAAACTTTTATCAAAGTTCCTCAAAAAAACATTTTTTTTAAAATTTCTAACAATAAAATGGTCACACCTGTTTCTGTTGTTAAAAGATTAAAGTTCTAACAATAAAATGGTCACACCTGTTTGTATTGTTAAAAGATAAAAGTTCTAACAATAAAATGGTCACACCTGTTCGTATTGTTAAAAGATAAAAGTTCTAGCAATAAAATGGTCACACCTGTTTGTATTGTTAGAATTTGTTGTGCAACTACCGATAAGACTTCCAAGTCTATACGATTGAATTCATCAAAACAAGACCATGCTCCACAAGATGCAAGTCCCTAAAAAATATAATATTCGGTGTTTTATCCCAGAAAAATACAATTTATTAAATTTAAATTGCACAATATAATACAGGAAATAATACAAATAATATAAAACAGAAACTGATATAAAATTTACTTTGAAAAATTTTCCTAATGCAATAAAATCAAGTCCATCAGAACAGTTAAAAACAACACATTGTTTAGCAACTGCTTTTGCAAGGTCTTTGGTTGTTTCTGTCTTTCCTGTTCCAGCTGGACCTTCAGGTGCTCCACCCAAATGCAATTGTAGTGCTCCAAACAGTGTTCTAAATATATTAACTTGCATAAGCAAACATAATATAAATAAAAACAGTAAAAAAAAATTATTATTATTAAAAAATAAACATGAAAATGGAAATTAAAACTTCTTTCTATGAATAGCAAATTTGCTAATAATAATCCTGTCTCTTTTCCAATTATTTTACATAAATTTCTGCAGAAAAAAAATCAGAATTGGGCATTGCTACCAAAAAATATTTAAAAGCGCTATAGCTACCTTACGTATCTTTGGGAATTAGAAATCGTTACTGTTTCTCCACTATTTAATTAAATTTTAAAATTAGTAATGCTAATCTGCTTTTTTTTATTTCAATTTAAAAAAAAAAAAATTACTGTCCCTCTCTCTAAAGTTGAGTTTTTGATATGCAAGTCTGTCATGGCATTTGCGAAGAGCTTCCCAGTTTATGTTTCTACTAACTTGACACTTGACTCCTTGAAATTGTTTTTAAAAATAAAAGAAACAACAACAAAAAATCTTACTGTTAAACAAAAATATTTTGAAAAACTGAAATTAAAAAGTAACGAGAATGAAAATTATTTTACATGAAGAAATTTTAAATGAAAAACATAGAAAACATTGCATCATTTATAATATATCACAATAAGAAAATTGTGATTGTTCTATAATTTTACTTTTATAAGTTTTTGTTTAATTTTAGATAAAGATTACTTCAATAAGATATAGAAAAGTCTAGATTGGCGCATATGTTTAAATAATATAGTTAATACATTGAGCTAGTTGCATAGATTTTAAATAAAACACACATGCCACTTTTTTAAAGTACTTAAATCAAATACAAAATTTAAACCATTTCAAATGGTATTCCTAAATTTAATTGGTAGCAAAAAAGTGCTTTGGATTTTTTTTTTGTAGCAACCTCAGCCTGCAAACAAACTTTCTTAGTAAAACCTACAACACTTTGGCTATGTCACTGATAACCTGTTAACAATTTGATACATCAACAGTACATTTTTATACTGTATAAATGTTTAGTATGGTAACAACTTTTAAGACCTGTGTTTCAGAGAGAGAGGGCTTTAACAACAGTTAAAGAAAAAATAAATAAGTAGCCTACTGGCTCCCTTTAGCCTTGGGGAGGTAAATACAGTAAAAAAATAATAATTTGAACACAACTATATTCTAAAACCATAAAAATTATGTTAAGTTACCTGTAACAACGATCAGTTAGTGGAGTTATAACAAGACGACCTGAGTTTCCTAAATATTCATATCCATAAGGCAAATGAGCACTAATCATGCGAGTCATCATTAAATTATTCTAAAAATTAAAAAATTAAAAAACACAACTTAAGAACTTAAACACATGCTCAAGATTTTAAAAACTAAAAAGCTAATAATAAATTTACCTCCCAATAGTATCTTAGTTGTGCCAGCCATTTAAAATCATTTTCATCTTTTATACCTAAATAATAAATTAACAATTTTACACCTATATAATAAATTAACAAATTTATACCTACATAATAAATTAGCACTTTTATATCTACATAATAAATTAATACTTTTACAAATTCGTAATAAATTAAACCTTTTCATACAATTGATATGACCGAATAACTTTTATTATCATATTGTACAAAGATAATTCTATAAAATTTACCTAACAACCGTAACAATATTCAAAACAAAATTTTAGGAATTTTTTGTTTATTGGATTTTGCTTTCAATAATTTTTAAAGACACTAATAAAATGTTGCTATAAAAAATACTTTTAAAATTTTTCAATAAAACCGTTATACATAAAAATTGAATCTTCAGAAAAAAAAAGTTAAAAACTTTAAGCTTAAAGTATGAGAAGTGTCATAAAGTATTATTTTAACCAAATAAATAATATGTACAAAAAACATTTCTACCTTCACCAGCCAGTTCAACTAATACATCACGAGCGTGAACATCTAAAACAACCAATGCACCTAATGTTGCTCGATGTTGCTTTGACAGTTTTCCTCTTACTAGTGATACTATCTCATCTATCTGTTCATTGTTCTGCTTTAGATAAGCATCTAACTTCTAAACAGTTTTTATTATTAAATTGAATAATCTAAAATAACTAAAAAAAAAATTATCATTTGAATGAACACTATGTGTTAAAAATATAATTTGTTGTAATAAAAAACAAATGCAAACTTGTTGGCCTCCTTTTATAGATTCATGCATATATGCAGTCCAGTAAAATTGTGTAACTGCTAAAACAGCTTGTCCTGGCCATTGTGTTACCCACTTTGTACGTGGAATTTTTAGATAATTTGCCATTGCCTGTACAATTGTCTAAACAGAAATCTTGAGTCTCAAATAAGCATTTTGTCTATAATTTAAATTTCTTTAATTTAAAAAATTCATCTAATCGAGAATTATTTTAATAACATTTTTAAAACAATATCGACAGAGAAATATCTTTATATATCTCAAAGTCTTAAAAATGCCTTCTGTTTTTTAAATTTGTAAATATTTAAATTTGCACATTCTTAATATACTTTTTAAGTACAAAAAAATTAAAAACAAACTAAATTAAATTATAATACAATTAAAAATCAAAACATTAACCTTTTACTTTTTATTCAAAACATCTTTTTTTTAACTTCAAATTAAAATCATAGAATTAAATCAATAATACTAATAAAGACTACTACCAAGTTGAAACTTGGTAGTAGTCATTGCACACACTTGCTATAGTTTAATCATGATTACCTCTTTGAGACTTTCAAACATTAGATTTTGCAGTTCAAGTAACCACTTTTCAACTAGACCTCGAGCAGCCGAAGTAGATATACTTGATACCAATGGGACAACTTCTCCTTCAGAACTCATCATACTTTTAATATCAAAGTCTTCTGTAAATTCAAGCGAAGCAATACCCTCAAAACATTTCTTTAAATGAGGCTTTACTCTAACAAATAACATAAAAAAATAAACAAGCTTAATAAAGCTCACAATGAATTATATAAAAACATCTATGTGTACTGGCTTAATAAAGCTCACAATGAGTTATAATATATGTATATAACATGTACAATGAGTTATAATATATGTATATAACATGTAAAATATATAATAATTAGCTTTCTGTGCTTTAGAAGTTTTTATAGATATAAAAGTTAGATAAAAAAATCCACATAAAGCTTTATTGTAGTATTTTGTTTCATGTTTGAGAAAAATAAAAATACCTTGTAGGATCTTTCGTTTCCGATAAAATTTCTAGCAATTCATCATTTGATAAGAAAAAAAATCTTGGAAAGTATAATCGTTTTTTTTCTAGATATTCATTCAACCCCTGTTTATAAGAAGATAAACAGTATTAATTCCTTCTGTTTTATGTCTAAAACCTGTCTTACTAAAAATTATATCTTGAGTTATTAATTATATATTTGAAATTATTTAATCTAAATTATAATTTAAGTTAAATAATTTTAAAAAATTTAGATTAAATAATTTTAAATATTATATAAAATCAAATGTTTTAAAGCAAAATAATTGTAATTTAATTTTGTAACGATGTTACCTTATCTTCTTTTTTTTTTTTTAAATTCTTTTATAAATATACAATTTTGATTGTCTCATATAAAAATTTAGGTTGTCCTGCTCATAAGCAAGATGAGCAATTTATTGGTAAAAACATACCTTTAAAATCAGCTCGAGGAGATCATTTGATGTTTTAAACTGATTTAGAAGTTTATCAATCATTACAACTTCCATTACATGGTTGTCCTATATGAATATATGAAAAAGACAACTATATATCATATGTGTATATATGATATATAGTTGATATATACATCAAATATACATATATGTATATATATGTGTGTATGTATATATATATATATATATATATATATATATATATATATATATATATATATATATATATACTATATATATATATATATATATATATATATATATATATATATATATATATATATATATATATATATATATATATACACACATATATATGCATATATGTATATTGGATGTATATATCAACTATATATCATATATTCACATATTGTTGTTGCATTTTGAAGCATGCTTCTTCTCAATTTAAAATGAGTTTTAAAATTCCATTTTCTTTTATTTCCAAAAGTTATTGTATTGTTTATTAAACCCTAATGTTGCCTTTTAAATAACGTGAATGGGTAGTTGAATCATTATTAACACTGAATATCTTTTGTTTTTCATTAGTAAAATAATTCTTTTTAACTTTGCCAAACAAAATTAACAATATAAAAGACATTATTAAGATGCACATGAAAAATGATTATTAGAACACAATGATATAAGTGTAAAATTTTTTTTTCTAAAAAAAAATAATCTCAGTAAAATTAAAAAAACAAAAACATGTTCTAAACATTAAATTAAATTTGATTGAAGATTGAGAGAGAATAATTGTATATTTTTCTATATATAAAATGTTTCTTTGCAGTTTTGGCTTTCAACATTTTTGCTTCACATAATGAAACCTTTGTTAAGATTGATAAAAACAAATGGCACGATACATATATCAACTACTACAAAAATGACAACACATCTTTAATTAATTTAAATAATAAATTAATTAATTTAATTTTAATCAAACCGCTTCTTATTAGACGTATTTTCGCCCAAGAAAAAATACAAAAAAAAACATTTACACTGGACAACTGATTATCATAGCGGGCAACTCAAATGATAAATAAAAACTGTTGCAACTGGGAAAAAACTGGAGGAATACATTCAAAATTGCTTTTATATATATATATATATATTATATATATATATATATATATATATATATATATATATATATATATATATATATATATATATATATATATATATATATATATATATATATATATATATATATATATATATATATATATATATGTATTTTATATATGTATCTACATGAATGTATTTATATAAATATACAAAACTTAAACATACCCTCAAAACATTTGTCATAGTATTCCTCCAATTTCTGTCAACAGTAGTAAATCGTCTAAAATAAATAAAAAAGTTTATTAATAAAACAAAAAAGTTATCCATTGAGGTAGTCTCAGAGAAGTAAATTTACTAATTTTTTTCTCAATTATAAAATTTGGAGGCAATTGCATCTCATTTTACTATATCCAAAAAAACTTGTAAAAAAAAAATTTTTCTTAGAAAAACTTCTTTGAAAAAATACTGTTATATATACTAAAAATACTACCAAGTTCAAAAATCTCTTCATTTAAAAATATTATTACATTTAAAAAAAAAACATGTATATAAAATTTACCTTCCCTCCTGTGGCATTTGAGCCATTATATCAGGTGAGCTAAAGATAGGCTCTAAATACAACCAGGTAGCCTGCACTTTCAGCCACTCATCTAAGATCTCTTGTATTAATAGCAACTTATCTTCCCATTCTCTGCATTGAAAAAAAACAAATTTGATATAAATTGATCATTCAAATACCATAATTAGGAATTTAGTATAACAGGGCAAATCTCAAGTTTACAATTCTTACAGAATCCTCACCGAATTTCAGTTTCAAAAGGTTTTATAAATGGAGATCCTCGGATGGTTTGCGTTTTAACTATGTGATCATCTAACAAACTTTGAATTTCATCAACAGATGAAAGAATATGTGTTCCTGTTTCCCGATAAGATATTATACCAAATGTCACCTAAATTTAATCATAAAAATATTTAAATTTATTTTTATTTTAAAGAACTTTTTTAAAAACTTTTCATATAATATAATACTTCAAAATACTTTATACATATATATATATATATATATATATATATATATATATATATATATATATATATATATATATATATATATATATATATATATATATATATATATATATATATATATATATATATATAAGGTATATATTAGGGTAGGTCGATTTTAGCTTTTTTTTTGAACTTTGAGTTGCGTAATGTTGCAGTTACTGTGTCTAGGTTAGAAATGAGGTTTTGCCAAATCTCAAGTACCCTGGTTTAAAAATTAATTTCAAACATTGCAAAATTTTATTTTAAGTTTAGTAATCTTGTTTTAAAATATCTCCTTTTGAATTTATAAAGTAACCAATAAACAATTTCTTAAAAAGTGCAATTGTTTTAAGAAGCCAATAAAGTTTCGCTAAATCGTTTACACACATTTAAACTTTGCAAATCTTTTTTGTATTTAAATTTCTTGTATTTTAAAGTTGGTTTTAAAGTTAAATTTATTTAAAAGTAGGTTCAAAAATAAAACTGCAATTTAAAGAAATCGTTTAATATCAAAGGTAAATACTTATGATTATTGTATCTAGAGTAATGTTTTAACCTGTTTATATTACATAAGTTTTGATTTGCAATTTCTGAAGTAGTAGTTCTTGGCCCCCACTAAAAACTCACGCCATTGCCCATTACTCTAAGTGTTATGCTTTAATACAGTTTACATATTAAATTAATCTACAAAAATGCCGAAAGTAAAGGTTGCAATTACACGGATGAAAAGTGAAAAAAAATATTGTGGCAGCTTATGTGAACTATCAACGACAGATTCAAGCACTTTTAGACAGCTTATTCAGTATTATTACTGAATAACCTGTCTTATCTTATTCATATAAACCCAAATGTAGATATTGTATTAGTGACTCAGCAAATTAGCAATAATATAAAATCAATTTGGGCTACAGTAAACCCAAGATTACCTCTTATAACTGACAAATCTATTAATAGGAAAGTTAAAGATCTTCTAGTACTTGTTAAGGATATTAATCGCAAGCACGGAAAAGCAAGCGCTAAAAGAAATCTTGATGCAAACTTGGACAAACTTTTTGATATTTCTGCGTGTTCCTGTTCATTAGATGTGTTTCCCTGTAGTGACAGAAAAGTTTCATGTAATAAAGAAAATTGCATCGAAGAACATATTGTATGCCTTTGTTCTCAAAGTAATAAAGTACCTCTGGAAGACAGAGCTTATCTTCATGATCAGAGGAAAAAAATTGGTCCAAAAGGTGCATATCAACTTTCTTCCGTCGATAGATTATCTGTCAAAAGGATTTAAAGACTTGATAAAAAACAACAAAAAATATCTCATAAGCTAGTTAATGAAGATGAATCCCTCATAGCACAAGTAAACTTTATTGAAGAAACAAGTGGTTAGACCAATACGGAGGTAAATACTCTATAAATACATGAAATATTTGTAACATGAAACAGAAAGCGTTTTATTTTATTAACTCTTTTTAGGATGAAGGTGAATGGAAACCAATTAATAATCCTATTGGAAAATACAACTTAGTTAAACTTCCAAGATTTGCAATGGAATTAGTCAGAAATGAGTGTTCGCCAAACATAGATGCTGCCCTTGCAAATGCTTTACTACATGACATAAAAATCTCTTGAAAAATGAGGCTGATATTAAAGATATTTTGATAGACAAATGCAAGTTAGATAAGTTCAAGTCAAAAGTAAAAATCGTTAGTGAAGAGGTGGACTCATAACAAAAAAAAACAGTTAATTTATTTTGGGGTTGACAGCAAGCTCAATCAAATAACTAAAACAAGTAAAGTAATAAACTTACCTCAACGAGAAGTACTAAAGAAATGCATTGAACCTGAACATCACCTCACATTTACTTATGAAGATGGAAAATCAAGTGGAAATTATTTGACTCATAGGATGATTCCTGTCACCGGTGCTACAGGTTTAGTTCTTACAACTGAAACGTTTAGTGTTTTACAAGAACATAACAGTTTGGAAAGTATACAATACTGGACCAATAAGTGGCTTAGTGGTAAAACTAGAAGAGTTTTTAAAAAGAAAACTACATCTAATTGAATGCGCATTACATCAAAATGAACTTCCGTTACGAGCTCTTTTTGTTAGACTTGATGGTGACACAACAGGGCCAAGAAGCTTTAGTAGTCCACTTGGCAAAAGATTTGCTGAAAATATTGTATTGAAAATATTGAAAATATTTCAATACAATCAAACAAAACTTGATAGAAATCAAGTTTTGTTTGATTGTATTGAAAACCCAATTGTAGATGGATATATTCCAAAAGAAATAGTAGTAGACTTTAGTTGCGATCAAAGACTTTTATTTGAATATTGCAAAGGAATAGGCTTTGGTAAAGTTTCTGATAAATGAGCGGCCTATAAAATTGGATCGCTTAACCATGCAAGGTGGTTAACTCTAGCTATTTGCCTTCTCTGTTTGTATACTAGAGAAAACCAACCAACTGTTTCTTTAAAAAAACTTGTATGTTTTAATGTTCAGGTTTACGCTCCAGCGTGGTTCGATATAAAAAAATCTTCAAATTTCACGAATCCCCGCGCCTTATTTTTTCTACTATCACTAGAATAGATAATAAACATTTCATATTCAAAGTTGCCACACACTGTATGCATTTATATTTACAACAAAAACATTTGCTTTGAATTCTTTAGTGAAAGTTGATATTTACTGCTGGAAAGTTAAAACAAATGCAAAGATCTGTAGCTTTTTCCAGCAATTCTTGACTACCATTGAATCCCTAAAATTTGAAACAAGTTGGTACCAATGGTAGAAACCAGATAAAAAGCATTGCCAAAAAAAAAACTTGTGCCAGTATTAAGTATTAACAGTCGACATTTTTTAAACTAAGCATTACTAAATCCATGAATCCAATTTTGAATTTTGCTACTATTCAGATTGATTATGTAGAAAATTTTAAGTATTTTTGTCAGAATAAGCCTCAAGCTGCACACTATGGACAAAATAAAATTTCTCTTTTCACTGCAGCAATCTGGATAAAAAATCTTTTAAAACTTTCACCATTGCATCTGATTCTCTGTATCACACAGAGACCTCCTTACTTCCAAATTTAAATAAGTTATAAGAGTTTATTTTATTTAAAACCAAAGAAATTCAAATTTTTAGTAATAATGCTGTCTTAGTTTAAAAAAAAAATTGTGATGAGTGAAATAATACATCTTGAAAAGAAATTTAACAAAATAATATTTTAGCATTTTATGCAGCAATGCATGGCAAAAGAGTTGTTGATGGAATTAGGGCAACCAACAAACGCATTTAGCATTTAGCAACCAACAAAGTCAAGAAAAGTTGAAATCCAGTCAGCAAATGATTTTGTGATTTTTTCTCCAAGACAACATTAACTTTAAAATCCTTCTCAGAGGAAGAAAGGTCAGACTTCTCAGAGGAAGAAAGGCCAGATTTCTTAAAGAAATTACTAGACTTCTCAGAGGAAGAAAGGTCAGAGCGCATATGTGCCCTGCAAATATCACAAATTATCCAGCAAGCAAAAAAAGTGAAAAATACCTCTAAATCTCACTACTTTTTATGTCGGTAATTGCCAGATCAAAGAAGAAAAAACTTTACTGTAATGCATTTGAAACAAATAAAAGAATGGAATAATTTTTATTTTAAAGAATATTCTTATTTGGTTAATATTTTTGTTTTAGTAAAACAAATCGTTTGTAAAGGCAAATAAGAGGAGCCGTCCATAAAGTACGCCCCTATATTTGTCAGTTTTTAACCCTTATCCTCCTGTCACAAACAATCGCATATAATTGCACCCCTCTCCCTCCTAAAAAGCGATCGCAGTTTTTGTGTTGAATATATTTTTAAAGATTTAAATGTAAACATTTTGCAGCATTTTAAAAACTCAACCTAATGAAAATAGGGCAATACACATAAACATAAGAAGTGTAAGTAAAGTTTTTAATAAACTAAAACATTTTTTTATTTGAGCGACTTAATAAGTATTAATAAAGTTGTAATACTAAAATAATTTTTTAAAGTTGCTCTTGGTCTTGCGTAAAAACTGTTTTCGATTAGATAACTTAAATAAATGTTATGAAAAATTACTCAGGAAGAGTGTTCCGTGTTATTTAAAATTGTCTTTCTAAATTACTTTTAATGAATGAGTTAAATACTATTAGAATTCTTTTGTTGTGCAGATACCTGATCTAAAATTTGAAGCAATTTTTTTACCTTTTTTTTTTCTGTGTAACATTAGTGAAATAGCATTTTCAGTAATAACTTTGCCCTCTTTTGGCCAAATTTAAAACTTTTTAGCTTATTTTATTATTCAGACTAACAGCTTTCATACAAAATAGCTAAAAACTTAATTTAAAGTTAAATAAGCAAAAATTTTGTGGCGCCTGTAATGTAAGTTAAAAATGAAATTGCTCATATATATATATATATATATATATATATATATATATATATATATATATATATATATATATATATATATATATATATATATATATATATATATATATATATATATATATACATAAATTTGTATAGTTTAGCACTTACGGGGACAGATTTTACAAAAAAAAAAAACATTTACAGGACATTTTAGTGTACCCGTTAACTTTTAAAAAAATGTACCCGTAAGAAATTTTTATAGAGAACAAAAGTACATATATCGTTTTTGTAAATAAATGAAGTTAAAAATGAAATATAATATAAAATAAATAAATAAAAATAACAAAAATTAATATAAAAATTATATTTTTATTATAAAATAATAAATTTAAATATGTCCCCAAAAGTCAAAAACTAGGATGCTAAATATATATATATATATATATATATATATATATATATATATATATATATATATATATATATATATATATATATATATATATATATATATATATATATATATATATATATATATATATATATATATATATATATATATATATATATATATGCTTTTAAAAATTGTTTAAAAACAGTAAAAATTGTAAAATGTTATTTTACAATTTTTACTGTTGTATATAAAACATATGCAACTATAGAATTTAATTTTTTACTGTAGTTTTTAGATGTGTAACTCTTAATATTAGTCTCTTTATTACATGTCCATCCATATTTTTATAACATTAAAAACATTTTTTCATTAGTTATTTTAAATAGTTCTGCGGGGTTTCGTTACACTCTCTAGATCAAGAATAACAGATTTCTTGAATCACACAAAAAAAAAAGGGTTAAGATTTTAGAAAATTAAATGATAAACTATAACATATTTGTGTTACAGTTATTGAGTTTCACTAAACAATATAATCATTACCTCTGCCCATTCTCCTTTCATTTTTTGCATAGCTTTTTCCAAAGTAAATTCTCTACTTGCAGCCTCATTAACAAAGCTGAACTTTAATAAATAAGGTTCTAATTTCATGTTAATAAACTTGCGAAGATTACTTCTTTCATCTGGTTGTATTCTATAGCCAACAATTTCAGACATAGCTTCCCAATGACGATCCCGTAATCCAGGATTAAAGACAACAGCTATAAGGGGTAAGTGTTCTTTAAATGAATCAACTTTTAGCTTCATCTATGTAAAAAAATTGTAAAAAAAAATTATTATATACATCTTTTATATATTTTACTTTAGTTGACTGTTTGTCAGAAAAAAAACTTGTAATCTTACCAATATTTAGACAGGCAAAAACTAATTTTATTTATATAAACAGAATAAATTTATAATAAGTTAAATAATAAAATTTTCAGCATGATTTAGTCAATAGTTTGATTAATCTTTTCAGTTTATAAAAACTATTCTTTTTTACTTATTAATTTTAAGCAGGATTATTTACAAAATTTATTTTAGAACAAATTATGTTTTCTATTGTCAAATTTATGTAATGTATTGAAAAAAATCATATAAAAGCATTTCTTTAAATAACATTCATTGTACACTTGTTTTATTTTGCATTTTGATTGTCTAAGGTAGATTTAATAAATTTTGACCAACTTTCAATAAAGTAAGAACTCTGAAACTTAAGACTTTATGTAAACTGGTTAACAATAATTGTTAAATCATTAACAACATCATTAAGTCATTAAATAATAACTTTTATATGAAATTCTTTAATATTTACTTTTTAAAACGCATAAACCCTAAAGTGGCTTTAACAAAGCACTTTCATAAGCAATCATGTATTTACCTAATTAATTAAAAATTTAACAAAAAAATTATGAATTTATTTTATAGTTTATAGTAAATTAGTTTATAGTAATTTATTTAAATTATATAGTTACCTAATTAATAAAATATTTATTTAAGCAATTTTTTATTTATATAACTAAAGTACATATTTATATAAGCAAGTACAAATTTATATACACATTAAAGTGTACTAAAATAAAATTTACTTGTTTTTTATCTATCTATGATTTTACCTTTGATGCAATATTTTGAGCAATAGGAACATCCTTGAAAGTTTTCTCAAGTTTATAAAAGGTTCGCCATATATTACTCGCTTCTTGTTCAATGATATCTGGATCTGATGAACCCAGTGGACTTTCCATCCAGAATTTGTATTTGTCATCAAACTCTGCAGTTGTTTCATAAAGTTTAAGGAAAGGTGTAAGTTTATTTACTACTAATGTCTGAAGAGGATATGTTGTCAACTCCCATTCAAATAATTCTTCTTCTGCATTTATGACAGCAATCTTCAAAAATTTAAAAATAATGATGCAAACTATTGTTTTATGGTTTTTAATTCAGGATAAAAAATTATACAACATATAATATCACTATACAATGAAATTAGGTAACATAAATGGTAGTCATATAACAAAATCATCTGACACTTTATTATCATACAAAATATAATCTAAAACCTGATGCAATTATACTTTAAAATTATGCTCATAGCATAACCAAAGAAAGTAGTATACAAAAAACATCACAAGACAAAATTACATAAAACATAATGCCCTCAAAGCAAAAACATAAAATACAATAACATACAAAAAAATCATATAGAAAAAGATAGTAGGGAAAGTTCATAAACCTAGAGCCTCCTTGTACCTAGGGCCACCACAATTTATTTAAAAACTATAAAGTTTTAAATAACGTTTCTCAGTCAGGTGATTAGTTATAAAAGTATATATTTTTTAATTTTATTTTGATTCTCAGAGAGTGTTGCTATGACAGGTTATAATCAGAAAATCCTTTTGATGGTCTAAAGTAAATTTCTGCCACTGGTATCTTTACAATCTTAGAAGAAATACTTGCTTATAAATTTTCGTATATTAAATTGTTTGTTACCTAAGTACTAAATGTGATGTTCAATAAGCTTCCTCTCAATCGGGGTTCGTTAAAAGATGACATTTTTCATAGGGCCATCTTGTATCTAGGGCCATATAGTTTCTTTTAACCTTGGGCTATAAGTGCATAAAGAACTTGGTGGATAACAGGGGAGATTGTTAAACTTTGATTGGTGCAGAATTTTTTTTTTCCTCTCTGTTGTTTTAAGGCTACCATTTTATGCATATCCTTATTTGTAAATTTAGCTATTTAGTCTTTCTTGATTGCTTATTTGTGAAATTAGCAATCAAGAAACACTCTAAATAAAAGAGTTGCAATCAAGTAACACTAGATAATTCTTATTGAAAACAATCTAAGATAAAATAAATTTTAATCAAATTTATATCTATCTTTTTTCAATTTATTATGGGGTTAAACCTAATTTTCAGAGAGCGAACCTAGGTTAAATAGCTAGTGGCACTAGGTACAATTAAAAAAAAAGCTTATTGTACCTAAGAATACAAACTTACCCTATAAAACTATACAGTTGAATAGAAGTATTCAAAAATTAATTTATAAAACAACAAAAAAATATTACTTTTTCAGCAACTACATCTAGGCGTGCTCGTAAAGAATTTGCTTTCTTTAGATAACGGCTTATCTCGTGCATGTCTCCAAGTGCTTCAAATTCTTCAACTTGCTTCGAATATAACTCAAGATCTTCAATAAGTTTTACTCTTCTCATCTTTAAAGCATTTTCATATTGAATACGATTCGAATTAACTATTGTGCAATGTTCTTGGAAAACTTCAGGCATTCTTTGATGCCATTGAAAAACATTACTATTAAGACGTATATCAGCAGAAGAAAATGTCATAAAATCTATTAAAAATAAAAGTCTTTCTTTGGCATCAAACAACTGCTTTTCAAGTAACAGTAAAGTTTCTGTTTCTGCTTTTTTAACAAAATTAATTAACTCCATCATGTGATCTGTGCTGATGGGTGAGGTTAGAGCTTTAGCTGTGATATTCTCATACTCTGAGCATAATGCTTTATTAGTTGCTTGATGATCTTGCATCATTTGATTGAGTAGTTTAGAGCGTAAATTTTCAGTACGCTTACACAAACTGTGAATCAATTCATCACAATGAACTTCAAACATTCCTACATTTACAACCTGCAAGAATACAAAGCCATTTATTCACTCATAAAAACAGCTTAAAATTTTTTTTTAAACAATTTCAAGACTAACATTGGCATTTTGGAATTTCTATGGGATTTTAGTTTATTGATTGAATATTATTAAATATTTAAAACAATGCTTTCTATAAACTACAATTTCTTAAGTTATGTGTTTTAACAATGTGCATTTAGGAAACTCAAGCTTAAAAAAAACGATGAATTAGTTTTATCATTAAAAGCAGGGCCACATTTGTGACATTGTTAAATTGACGTTGTTCTTAGGTATATGAATAATCATCGCCCAAAAGTTTGTAATAAAGTTTAAAAAATTACATATCTCCAGTAAAAACAAAAACTTTTCAAAGAAAATAAAAAACAAAGCACTCTTTTTTGGTTAGCGCCCCTAGGCAGTTGTCTAGATTTGCTTTATGGAAAATACGCCTCCAATTAAAAGTAATGAAAAAGAAATTAATTTATAAAAAGTCTAACCATATCAGATCCATAAGCAATTTCTTTCATCAATTCATTGTACTTTTTAACTTCCTCCATATATTTTTCAAAGGAATGACCTTTAGACAAAAAATCTGCAATTTCTGCTTCAGCTACTTTTGAAATCAAACTCCTGTATTTTGTGTATAACAGTGCTTGTTGTAAAGGACCATACCTCTCTTCAGATAGAACTTGACTTACTTTAGACTTGAAGTTATTTATTATATAGGAAGAAACAACTGGTTCTAAAAATCTGTTTTCAGGGTGTAACTCTGGATAAAATTTTGTTTCAACTCGCGGTATTATCTTAATTGGCTTAAGCATCAAATCAAAAACATTTAATAAAAGCAATTCAAAGTCATTAAAGCTTGGCTCAAATTTAATTTCATCACCATCTAACACAAGTCGAATAATGAAACCTGGATGGGAAAAAGGCTTAGCAAACAAACTTTTATTTCTCATAAGCAGCTGAGCATAATCTTCTAATGATGATATAGCTAAACTTTGAAGTTGATTGGTCATTAATACAGCTACTGAATTGAAAAAAGAAGTTTTAATATCTTTAGTTACTACTAAATGTTTGCGTTTGATAGCTTGATAAAAAATATTTTGGACTTCTGGCCACCACCTATGAAAACAATTGAATAAATTATTTAAATTTATTCAATAAAATCAAAATGAGCTTTAGAAAAAAAAAGAAAAAAAATTAGAGACAAAAATATATAAAATGTTTTACTTTTTAAGTAAAGTCACTTGAGCATTTTCAATACTTATCATCATAAAATTTTGAAAATGTGATAGTTCTATGGATTCACTTTTTTGCATTATTACACCGGTATCAATTAAGCGAAAAAATCTAAAATGTTTAAAATTAACTTTTTTATATATTTTATTAAACTTACTTAGAATATAAAATGTATCAAAAAAAATGCTTTTACCCATAATTTTGGTACCATAACTTTGAAAGATCAGACATAATGGGATTAGTTATATGAAGATTATTCATTATGAAATGAAGTGAGGTAGAATACAACTTTGTTCTTAACATCCGAAAATTATTTAAACTATAAATATAAAACTAATTCAAACATCTACTCAGATTTACAACTTAAAATAAGTTATTTAATCAAACATGTGTATATATTATTCATACTTAATATTGACAGATATTACACTGGATTTTAGAATAAACTGTACATTAATTGGTTACAACTAATTAATGAATCTTTTATTTATTATTTATACTTAAATTAAAAAACCAATAATAGGAAGAAATATTTTCTGAATATAATCTCACTCTAACTGATGAACCAAAACTTCTTTACTTGTGCCTTTATCATCTTGAATTGGATTTTTTAGAACAAAGTCAACTATAGTAAACAAAACAAATCTAATTGAGATATATTTTACCAGTTTTACAAAATCTATTAACAACAAGGAGTTTTTATAAAAAAACAAAATGCAAAATTCAGAATGTTATATTTTAATCTATTTTTTAATTCGGACAACTTTAATAGTAGGTCTAAATTAAATGAAATTTGAACAGCTTCTAATTTATAATAAAAAAATTCTTTATTTACAAAATCATACAGGTTTACTTAACTACAACATTTAATCAATTTATTAAATAAGCCATAATAATTATTTAAACCACTATAATATTACTTATACTTTTAATCCTGCACTTTTATATGCAAATTTAAATATAACGAAATACAAAGAGGAATATTAAAGTTTAAAAGGAGTTTTTTTATATGAAATATTATTTTACCTACCAATTGCTTTTTTCACAGCAAGCAGATAATCTTCGCGAATTTCATCTGACAATATCTCAATATATTTAGAATGTGTTATCTAAAAAAAGTTTATTTTGTAAAAAATGATTTATTATTAAGTAACCTGTAACCAAAACAAAATAGTTATAATAAAAAAATGAACAGTAAGCGGATTGTATAACTCAAGAAAACAACTGTTTAAAGAACCTAAAATATTTTTCAAATTGTAAACTAATCTATTAATTTTAAATTTCATTTTTACATAATAATGATAAAAAATCTATAACAACTTATAAAAAAAAAAAAAACTTAATTGAGTAATAAAAAAAGCTCTGTTTATTCCCAGACCCTTTATGTACAGTTCATAAAGTATATATATTTTTTTAATGTTTAACCTTGTGTTTATCTGGTACCAGGGTTAAGACATGCTCAATCCATAAGTCTTCCATCTGAGCAACATTTTTTGTATCTATTCCATTGTGTATATAATAGTAATATCGCTACACAAAAAAATCACAAATTTTATAATTTTATAATTATATACAAGTAATCTTTAAAGAAAAACATTTAAAATAATAAATCATGACAAATTAAGTAAAAACTTATTCTTTTGACAATATATCATATTATCTATAACGATTGTATTATGTAACGTTGTAATAGCTTTTAAAGTTTACTAAAATGTCTTTTTCTGCTGCAGTTGGTAATCCTTTTATAGAATGACTGAGTTCTTCCTTTCCACCAGTATTGTCTGATGAGCAACTGATTTCTTCATTATGCCTTAAGTAATAAAAAAAAGCAAATTAACTACTAAGTAACTAATCTAAAAGTTCAACAAGTTTTACTTCACTTGTTAATATTACCACAAAACTAATTGAAATAACATTGAAAGGACAAGACCAAAAAAAAGCCCTAATTTTAAGGTACATTAAAAAAATACTTGAAATATTAACTTAATTGAAACACATTTAATTTTGCTTTTAGCTTGAGTTGTTTGTAATTTTATTTCAAACTTTTCTTTATTTTTTTATGAGTTTTGAGTGAAAAAGCTTAAAAAGTATATGTATTACAAAAATTTATACCTAAGCATGTATGTTTAGAAAATGTTTTGGATATCCAGAAAAACTAAAGGCTAAAAAAAATATCCAGAACTCCAGAAATATCTGGAAAAGGATAATCCTTGTAATCAGATTCAACAAACATTTTAAGTTGTTAAAAAAAGTATTAATTTTAATACATTTTTGTTTGTATTTTTTTGCAAAAAATGTAAAGGGAGAAAATTGTTTAAGCAATCAAAAACAATTATATACAAGGGTTTTCTTATTTCTTAATTTTTAAAATGTGTTTAGAATTTACAAAGAAACTTAAATAAGGCTTAAGAAAGAGTAAACAATCAGAAAAAATTGCCTCTGCAAACTGTATTGAGAAAGCTACTCTAAATTATATAAATTACAGTGAAGAATGTTTTAGTAATTACAATTTAAAACTATTTTACCTTATTTATTTTTTTAAACAGATTAGATTTTTATTTAAGCTTATCTCAATTGTTGATCTTGTTCTCCTAAATTGAACTTTATTCTTGTTCTCCTACATTGATCTTTATTCTTGTTATCCTACATTGATCTTTATTCAGACACTATTGACTATGAAGTAACACAAAACCTGTGTACCTAAATGTTAGTAAATTTTAATATTTACAGAAAGACATTAAAATATTTACAATTCACTACAGTAGGAGAAATTTATGTACCTCACATGATCTTCTACCTGAGTCGACTCTAGTTTAATTAAATATGTAGTTCTAAGTTAAGGCACTTAGTCTAGTGATTGATTACATTAACTGCTCTAGCTTTATTGAATATGATGTAACCTAGGAGGTTGCTGTAGCAAGTAATTACTTTTAGTGATATCTTATATTACCTTAGATAAAATACATTTCTATGAGTTTAAGTGCCTTGTATTTTACTTGTGTATTAAAATGTATTGTTAAAGAAGTCTTCTCTCAATTTAGAGCTCTCCGATAAAGAATTTTTTTGAATTCCAATTAATGCATAGGGTTTTTTTTGCCATAGTTTTAAGAGTACCATTTTACCCATTAAACTATTTTTCAATTTTCCTTAGAATTGTTTATCAATAAACATAGTAGTAGTAGTAATTAATTGTTATTTTATTATTGCATACTGATTTTTAAACACATAAGTACAGTCAAGGTTTTGCATTTGTAAAACATTAATTTTTTTTTAGATGCCTAGGAATAATATTTGTAAAAATCAAACAAAACTAAATGCAGATAGCATCTCTTGCTGCAGAAGCAGTGATAAAAAATAGATTTTAAAAAAAGAATGCAGCACAACAATTTATTATCAGCAGATAAATACTGCAAAATATTCAAAACTTTTGTAAAGAGAATAGCTCTGTAAGTACTGAACAAAAATGTCAATATATTAACTTAGGTGCTTTTTAGAAAATGCTCTCTAAAAAAAAAACCTTAGTTGTGCTTCTGATCTGGTTTAAAAAGTTTAAGATTGTCATTGCAAGCAATATGCGTTTTTAACTCTCGCAACTCTAGGCTTAAAAAAATGTATTATCTTGAAATAAAAATAGTCAAGTTGGTGAGCAATGTTATTCTGATCTAATGAAGAACACTGAGAAACTGTGCACAAGTCGAAAACAAGATTAAATCAAAGAGTAAAGGTAAATGATTAAGATTATTTGGAAAATAAGTCACAATCTTAATTATCTAAGTAAGAGATCAAAAAACACAAACATTTTAAAACTTAGCCAGCATGACAATAAATAGCACACCAATAACAAAAATATTGGTTAAGGGATAATGAGTAAGGTTTTGGTAAATTTTATCTGAAACAACATCAAAAAAGTGTAAAACCAGGTAGATGTAAAATTTTAACTGACATTCAAGAACAAAATGATACTGAAATACAGCATGCAATTAGAATGACATAAAAAGGAAAATTAAATTTAAATTCTCTGATTCAAATAGAGAAAAAAAAAGCTAAATCAAACATTTTTAAATATTGTAAATTTTAAAATAAAAGATTTTAGGATAAAAGAAAATTATCAAAAGATTTTTTTTTATATAAAAAAAAACTTATATTTATTATATTTATACTTATATTTTATATTATCATTTATTATATTATCTATCTTTGTTGTCTATCATGGAGTGAAACCTAATTTTAGAGAATAACCCAATCAATTAAAAAATGCATGCTGTACCTAAGGCCACTGATATTCAAACCCTTCTACATAATGGACTTTAATATTTTAAACCACTATAATCATATTATTATCAGTGATTGGTGCCGAGATGTGATCATATTGGTTTCTCCATTTTGAACCAGAAATGTTCCTTGCTTTAAGCATCAAAAAATTATTTAACAAGACTAGTGTATTAAATTAGTACTAAATATCAAATATATAAAATGTGTAAAATAATTATCAGCAACTCAAAAAATTATTTTAATATAATGAAACTATGATAACTTTCTTAAATAAAATTAAAGTGCAATTATTTTGTATTACGTAATAAATAAAAAAACTGATAATCTTTGATAACTTACATTATAATGTTTACAAGAGCATGTCTGAATTTCTCCCTATCTTCTTTTTGATTTGGAAGTGATCTTTTACGCTTCTGTTTATTTAAAGGGGCTGCACTAACATCATCTCTTCCAGAATAAGGTATAAAGTTGTCTGAAAAAAGGTCAAGTTTTTTTTCACTAGTATCTTTAATCAAATTTTAAAAACACACACATTAAAATGATTGTTACTTATAAAAATAATACATTAATAAAACGATTTTATTTTATTCCCATATATATTGAAGAAAAATAATTACCTTCATTAGTATTATTGCTTTCAACATTGATATTTAAATTGTTTTCTTCTTTACCACGATGCCATTCAGGCATAACTCTAGTCTAAAAACATTGAACAAGTGATATATATCAATAAAGTATGCTGTCACAAAATGCAAAACATGCTTAGCTGTGGATGAAACTGATAATATCATACCGAAATAGCCTTCTGTAAGGCCTTCAGTAGGGGAGAGACGGAATGTTTTATCCTAGTTAATTTTTTTAATGATTATTTTTTAAATGGTTTAAATAAAAATAAATTAAGCCTTAACTTTACGACATAAAAGTTTTTTGTACAGTACCAGCCATACAATTTTACTTTGTGTCACTTTGTTTGTAGTTCTTGATTAACAAATCTATGAAAATTCTAACACTATTTACATACTTACTTTTTTTCCTTAGTATTTCCTTCACAATTGTCCAATAAGGTTTGGTTGAGTTGTTGATTAGGACAGTTTGGTGGATTGACATCAATTAGGAACAAAATTAACTCTATTTCTCTTAAATATTCTTAATTTTTTTTTTTGGAATAGTGGATCAATGTCAGATCTGGCCAAAATAAAGTTAATTGTTAGTGCTTTAGAGGAAGCGGTCATTTTTCCAAGCATTCACTCATGTATAGATTTGTTGTCAAAAAATAATTTATTATGAAAGTAGAGCTTTTAAAACCATAACTGCAAATAGCCTGTAATACAAGGTACTTAAGACCAAATTTTTAAACTCAAATGTATTTAAACTTGTCAGACACTTTATGTTTCAACTAATAATAGTTTTGATTGCTTAGAAACATCAAGTGATCTTTTTTAAAATAGGTTTCATTGACTGAAAAAAATGCACAAACTTGTTTTGCCATTAGTTTAAGCAACTTTTTAGCTAACCTAATTACCAATAATTTATAATTGCCTTGATTTTTTCAATAAATGACATGTTTGGCATCTTTTACTTGTAATATGCTTTCAAATTTTCTTTTTTACTTCTCTTTGATCTACTTCTTTTAAACATTGTAGGTAAACCTTGTGACTGAATTGTGAATCAATAAATTGAGTTGCCAAAAGACTAATTATGTAAACATTATAAATAAAAATAATTGCAATTAAGTTAAGGTTCTTGTTAAAACTCGATTTAAAATCACAGCAGAAAAGCATTTAACCAGAAAGTTCAAGCCTCTTTTCTTACCAATGTTGCTTACCAATGTTGCTTACCTAGATAGAACAACAACCTCAAAACTATTGGTTCTGAGTTGAAAATCTGCACAAAACATGTTTTTATTTTACTTATTCCCTTAGATGTTATTTCCCCTTAGATAATATTTATAATAATGAATAAGGAGTAAGGTCCCTTAAAACTTATCCCTTCCCCTTTCAATCATTTGCCATTATTTGTGAAAAAGCATACAAAATATATTTACTTTATGATTTTATTTTAGAAGTTAATTAGTGAAACTCTATTAGTATTTAATTAAAATATTTTTCAAGGCAAAAGAAAACATTTAAATAAGAAAATAGTTTGAGATAAAAAGGACAAAAGAACACAATTTGAGAAAAAGCCAGTTTCCACTTGCATGGATTTAACTATATATATTTATTAAACTATTAAATTAATATAAAAATTTATTTTACTATTTCTAATACTTCAAAACTTTATATTTTCGCAAATATTTTTTGCTGTCATTTATTCTATTTAATTTAAACACAAAAAGTAGGAATTTTAGCTAGAAAACAAGTGAAAATTATGACCAAAAATATCAATAGTTAGATTGTTCAAATTTTCAACCACAGCCAAAATTTCAGCTGAAACAGTAAAATTTTGATCACTATTAAACATTATTGTGGTTCATCTTTTACTAACGGCTATTTATGCAGAATCTCTTCCTTTAAGAACAAATAAAACTGATGCATGCATATACAGGAACCACATCTCATTCAGCAAAGGTAATTTTGTCTACCCGCTTGGACCAATTCACAACAATAATTTTAGCAGGTTTATATACTGAAATGAGGCTAGTTACATCAAAATTTCATACTAGCTGATCTGACCTGTAAAAATATGGGTCTTTGTAAATTTGTTCCACGCTGACCTTTTCTATACTTTTTTCTTATATATATCTTAGGACCCATAAATACAGGTCTTTACCAAAGCTACCTTTTCTATACTTATCTATTCCACACTGATCATTTCTATACCTTTATAATTTTTTTTTTTACTTCAATATTTTTACGTAAAATAATTCATTTTCAATATTTTTCAATATTTCATTTTTCAATATTTCAAGTAATTCAAAAATTGCTTTAAGAAAGTGCGAATGTCTGAACAAAAAAAGGCAGAAAAACGAACGTCACATTCCTTTACTTTTCCTAACGCAAACGTTGGCGTTCGCCTAAAATTTTTCAAAGAACGCGTTACTATAGCAATTTTTTTTTTCCAAACAATTAACTATTGATTGTTTTTTATTTATTATAAAAAACACAAAAAAAAATTAATTACGAAAATTTTTAACCCATTTTCAAAGACTTTAAAAGAAACCACGCTAAAGCTATTTTCTTCAATGGAACAAAGAAAGTAATTAGTTTGAGGATGGTTTTTGCATGCGTTTAATAAAAGCATTCAAAATTTTTCTGTTTTTTTACTGTTATTCAACAATGCAAAACTTTTTTTTTAATTTAGTTTGTTAAATTTATTTACTCATAAAATATTCGTATAAACGTAAAGAAATTAAAATAAAAGGAACTAAAGAAATAAATCGAAAAATGATGTCTCATTTATAAATGTATATTAATTTGAATATATATATATATATATATATATATATATATATATATATATATATATATATATATATATATATATATATATATATATATATATATATATATATATATATATATATATATATATATATATATATATATATATATATATATATATATATATATATAGGGCTATTCTAAGAAAAAAATTTGGGCAGCAGTACCCTTCTGTCTCAAAGAAACTCAGCAGAAATATCGCCAAATATTGGTGTTTTTTTGTGAAAAAAATAAAATTTGCTGTAAAAAACAGAAAATAAAGCATCCTCAATTTTTAATTTGGGCGCCAAAATTGGCACCCAAATACAGTAGACGCTGTAGAAAACAGTCTAGAATAGCCCTTGATATATATGTACATACATACATGATATATATATATTTATATATATATATATATATATATATATATATATATATATATATATATATATATATATATATATATATGCATTTTTCATGCATACATACATGATATATATATATATATATATATATATATATATATATATATATATATATATATATATATATATATATATATATATATATATATATATATATATATATATATATAAACAAATCTTTCTTAAAAATTGATTATCATTAAAAATAATGAATTGTACAATTTTAGTTATTGTTAAATAATGAGTACAAGCTGGCTAAGAACGCAGGAAAAAGATCATTTATGTGTTGAAAAGGTAGAGGAGCTGATAATGTTTTGTGGGAGGCAGAGGTAACTGACACCATCACAAAGAATACGTAGTTATTTTTGAATAAAGGATTGCTGATAGATAGCAGTGGTTGCGGTATTTTGAGCGAATGGGAATCTATTGGGGTTTCTGCTATTGGTGCAAGGTAATTTAGTGGTTATGGGATGGTTTTTGTCAGCAAAGAATTTTTTAAGGATATTAATATAGGTCTTGTCTAGTAGTTCTTCAATGTCAAAACAAATATTGAAAAGGCTCAAGTTGGATTTGTAGAGCATTTTTGTGGAAAGGTTGTTTTGTTTATTTTTGTCCCTAGACTGCAAGAGGTAAGAACTGGGGCACTAAACATCATGTGGCAAATAGCATAAGATCTGTAGACTTGTAGAAGTTTGGGCTGAGTGTGTCCAATTTGCTTAAGGCACTTGAGTAGAAAATGCACTGATTTTATAGTGTTGTGCATTTTTATCCATTGTTCATCCCAATGAAGATTCTCATTGAACAGGATTCCAAAGTATTTATAGCTGTAAACAATTTCAATTTCAGAATTATTGAGTATAGGAGATGGTAAAGCATGAGTGTGGGAGAACTCGGCATTGATTCTTATGACTTTACAGTCATTAGAATCAATGCTGTCTCAGTGATCACACCAAATCAGTGGTATGATCACTTGTTTTTACTCTTTGGCAATGATTAGATAAGTAAGCTGCAATCCAAGATGTGAGCCACTTTATATATTTTATATTCACAGGAAAAGAATAAGTATTTAATCAAAATTGCCTGCCTTCCCCTGCATATATATATATATATATATATATATATATATATATATATATATATATATATATATATATATATATATATATATATATATATATATATATATATATATATATATATATATATATATATATATATATATATATATATATATATATATATATATATATATATATATATATATATATATATATATATATCAGGGCTTAATTTAACGGTCAGACATCGCCGCAAGGGCTATTCTAGATCGTTTTCAACAGCATCGACCATGTTTGGGTGCCGCCCAAATTAAAGTTTGTAAACCTTTTTTTTTTCTTTTACGTTTTTTCTGTTTTTATGGCAAATATTATTTTTTTGCAAAAAAAATATAAGTGTAACTAAATTTAGTCGACTAAAGCAAGATTTAGTGCTTGAAAAAAAAAAAATCTTTCCCATAAAAATTTTACACACGAGGAAGCTTTATTAAGGCAATAAATATTATTTTATCGTAATTAAACACTTTACTAACTGTAAATCCTAGAGCCCAGTCGAACTAAACTGTTATTCAAAAAAAATGTTTTAAGCAAAATTCGATTATTTTTATTTTTTTCCAGCTCAGAGACAACTGCCTATGAGGTTGTTGCAACTGTTTATAAACACCCAATCAGCATGGTATATACCAATAATGCCCTTTAGTCAATTAAATCAAATTTGGTACGCTTATTGAATGTTTAACTTATATTTTTTATGTGCTGCTTCCTATAGATAGTGTGCAATAATAATTGCACATCAAAAATAATCTCCCCTGCCAAGGCCGTACCGACTGTTAAATAACAAAAACATTGTATTAAGTAACTGCGGTCGCTTTTAAAACCAGGAAATTGTTTATGACATTAATTACTTGAAAAATGCAATATGTGATTTTTAAGCACTTAAAAATGTGTGTTAAACTGGGTTGAAACAATTATCAATCAAAATTCAATACATTTTTTATTATATTTATTTTTATATTTTTTTA